TTTAACTAACATCCTTCGAACCTCTACCTCCATCAGGAAAAACCCAGACCTCTACCTTATCCCTATTTCCATGCATACCCTCAAGAACAAGGGACCCGAATCGAAGGGACGATGGTTTACTCGTTTATAACCAGCGTCCTACGATTCGCGGACACCTCGACCTCCGAAACTAACCCCCCGAGTCAACCCCCATAAAAGAATTAGAATTTCCCAAACCTAAACAAATTGACAATTCTAACCTAAACAAATTAACAATTCGTTTAAACTTCCACTTCCACCTACCAGTTCCGAACCTCCTGCCCATCCCTCCAACGAACACACCGCCAATAGGAGGAAAAACATACCCATCACTTAGACATCTCGACAGCCAATGACAGCAACAGACGAACATATAAAAATACACGACACCAAGAAGACAGACAGTACAAACATCGAAACAACACAAACGACACCACGGTAGAACGCACATCGCTAAGACATATTGTAAATTGCTGTAGATATATTGAAATTAAATTATATTTAAACCTTCAAAAATAGTTTACGTTCTTAGAACGACGTAAGCCTTCGCCTGAATTCTTCATACGGTCGATAAGAAGATTCGGACGAAACAAGGTTTACGGACGCTATCTGTATACCTATTTCGAAGGATACCTGTCAAAGTGACAGGTAAAGGACACCACGTGCCTTTTTTCTTTAAGGATTAGTTTAATTTAAAAACAATTATATATTATATTAAGAGTCTTGATATAAGTGAACTAAATCTGTTACCATCGTATAATTGCAGCAACCCTTCCGTCAAATTGACGAGTTCCGTAAATCTAGTGTTAAATAATAGTGCAAAGGTGTGAGAGAGTGTTTTAACCCTTGAGTGTGTCAGAGTGTTTTAACCGTTTGCACTCGAGAGGTGCCTCTCAGTCGCCATTTAATCAAATTCTAAAGATGGATGTTAATTAAAATATCAAATTTACAATTACCCAACGATGCTTGGAATATCGAAGTAAAATAAATCTACATCTTAATTTGCATACGATTTCTTATGTACCGTATTAAAAATATCGTCAACTTTATAGCAGGAAGTCCTCGAATTACTGTTTTTCTGTAACAAAAAATTCATTTAACGAGTGCTTTCACTCTTCACTTACATTTGTCTCTATCATAAACATCCCTTACATCCGATCCTCTTGTACGCAGTCACTTTCGTTCTAAGCTCAAACACTCTTGACATTCTTTCAGGGCCGTACTTATTCCTTTTCTACAATAATTTACGGGTACTAGATCCCATTAATGTGTAAACAAGAAATAAAAATACATAAATTTTGTTAGAGAGAGAAAGAATATAGGTTACGTATGGTACAATTGCCGATATAGCCGATATAAACAAATTGCTTAGAGATTTATGATCTAGTTTTTAAACGAGAAGATTGATGGTCTTGATGAGAAATTGTTTGCAAGAATGTATATTCTATTGATAGAGTCTGCTGATTCAATTCTGCTGGTCAGGTATAAAGATTCGAAAGTCTCTTAAATTTCTCGAAGTCGCATGAGAATTAATGAAAGATAATAATTCCGAACTGCGCATAACAGCGTTTATAATTTTGAAGAGAAACAAAGGTCGCAGCAATTCTCCATTCAAGAGATTCAAGATTAAGCGTACGTTGAACAAGTTCATAATCATGATCATAAATACTCGTATAACGAATTATGCTGTATTCTTCCACTGGGTAGATACTACATACCATTCTTCTCGAAAGTTACACCCTGAACATTGACAAACGAAATGGGTATCGAAATAACCTACATTGTCCCGTTGCACGTTGAATCGTGGTGAAAGGAAATGGCGGCGATGAATCTTGATTTTCGTGTCGGGGTACAGGATCACTTGCGTCGCAGGATCGACAAGAAGCTGAGTACACTCGGGCTCATTTAGGTCGGTTCTTACGTACCGAGCCCTTGAAACGTGGTCGACGCCACGGGTCGCTGCATCATTGCAAATTTAGCAAATTTTAAAGAGCCACGGCTATCGATTTTCCGGAGGAAATTGGTGTCAAAGCGAAGATGCTACCGGTTAAGAGCACGCCGTCGAGTATCTTGTTTCTGCGTTCGACAAACGAATCTAGGGTGCATCGGGTTGCCAGAGGATATTCCTTCCTTTCTGATAACATAATCGGGGTAGAAAACCGAACGGGGTTTGAAATTGGACACTACTTAAAGGGACGTTTAATTTAATTCCATTCCCCAAAGTCGACTAGATCGGTGGCCCTTTTGTCAGAGCCTTTTCCATGCTCCGATACGTCGCATCCTGAATTTTCTAGTCGCGACGGCGGTATTGGATTTGATCGAGGTCTCAGCCTTTGATGTTCGCGAATCCTTTTCTTGATTACGAGCCGCGCGTATGTCTGCAGCATTCCTGTATGTTCTTCTCGATCGAACAATGTCCTAACGCAATAACGTCGTGACGAGGAATCGCACATGGCTGCATATTCCGCCGGGTAATCCAGCAAAAGGTATTAATCCGTGCTATTAACTGCGACTTATCGCAAGGACGAAGCGTGCAGCTCGTTCGAAACGATAAATAGGGAATTCAAAGTCCAGATATTCCACGTGATCCTATTAACGATCTTCGGGACGAGGTTCTATCGAGTATGGGCTTTTATTCCCGGGACGATCGACGTTTGCCGAGGCGGAAATGCAGCCAGTTCGACTCGCGAAAATTTCTATCGCGCGGAAACACCTGCGGCGAATTCGGGAGATCGTCGAACAGAACTAATGTTGCTGGGCAATTTGTAACGAGGCTAGCCGCGCTTGCAGGCCAATTTATGAACATGAGACAGCGGATCCTCGCGTCAGAGCGCAGATAAATTACTTTGTTTTGGCGTCGAAGAACCGCAACCCGGGCTTCCCAGGCATCAATATCAACGACTGATGAGTTATCCCTCGCGGCTTCCTATTCCCGGTTCGAAATTACCAGAATTCGTTAATTCGTGTGAAAAAGAATCGAATTCCTAGGTTAAATAATTATCCACAATTGTCGCATGTTTCCCAAGTATAGTTTCGTTCCAGAGTTCGTATTTAAAGAGAAATAAAAATATATTTGCGAGATGTTTGTCACGTATTCGATACAAAGGAACCCAAGACAAACACACAGAGAAATTCTCATTCCCTTTGTAACTTTAATCACGCTTCTACTCGAAGAGATTTCGGATTTTACTGTTCGAGTCAATGGAAGAGGAGGATGATTATTCCGCTGTATGTGTACACACCGGCGACGTGCTGTTTACTCGTACGAAGATTTTTGAACGCCCCAGACCATGGAAAGTTCGAATTGCATCGCGGAAAATTGCGGTGAAACTCATTTCACGTTATTCAGACGGAGGAGCTTGAGTACACGGGTCGCGTCTCGACGCAGCTTCAAGATCGAGTGCGTTGAAACTTGCTGGCACGACGACTAATCTCTTTCAGATCGACGCAAACGTCTGGCTCGTGTTCCAGAACCTGTTTCAATTACGCTTTGCTGTCTGACATTCGCGTAAGAATAGACGGGATAAATAGACGAAGAGGATACCGAGAGAACTTTACATGGAAATTGTACCAATGACTATCGTACGAGTATAATGTAGTTACGAATAATAAAAATATGTAAATATGTTATCCGGTTGCTATCGTGTTCCTGGAGAATCGAATTTATCTTAGTCGCTGGATATCTTACAACCAGGACCGAAAATCGTTACCACGTTGGGTTCCTGATGGCGACATTTTTCTTCTCGAATCTACCGACCCAGACTAATTTTCTTGACCCACCACCATCGCCTCAAAACGAATCACATGTGTCTCGTTAATAACACTCGATCGTAACATCTCGATCCTTCTGGATCGTAACATCTCGCTCCGCTCCTGAGGCATTACGTTCCTTCCGGCGAGCGAGAAATTTAGAAAATTCTCTGGAACTACATTTCTCACATGGTTTATAGAGATTCGTCTTCCTTTCAGCTAGCGGAATTTAACGAATTGTTTCTGGAGACGTGAAATTCTTCAGACGTCGCAGACTCGGTGTTCATAAACTTTAATGCTGATGGCCCGATCGATACGAACAGAATTCGATGTCTATTCGAAATGGAATGGCACCTTTTTTGTAACGTTGTTGATTCAAGCGAAGTAAAAACATTTGGGAAATAAGCATATTTATTGATTCGCGAAGCGAGTGGAAACTCGGTAATCACATAAAAGCGTGATAAATTCTATTTAAAAGCGGACACTATTTTTCTCGGTTTGCATTAATCGTGGAATATGAAAAAAATTCGTTCCAGTAAATAGGCTGTATAATATTCGTACGAGGGATTTCATCTTGCTTCTTCACGCGAGTCATGCAAATTTCGATCATGCAGTTTCCCACGAAGTAAATTATTTCTATGAGACTAATGATGCTGAAGCCGACGAAAAATCCATATAATCCACCAACGTTGCCTGTAAAATAAATTCCTTTCGATAACCATGCTTTTACAATTTGCATATTATCAAAATATTAGATTTGAGTGCTTGATGGAAGTGAAGGTTGGTTTGAAAAGTTTGTTGTTCGCGCGAAAAGTGTACGCGTGCTGAAAACGAAAACGGATATACCTGGGAATTCTAAATATTTATATAGAGCACGGAACGGTGCGTAATTTTCGATATTTGTCGAGCACGGTACCGGTTTCCGCGAGTTTAGTAGCCTTAGGCATATCCGGTCGCTTAACCAAAACAAATGGGCACGCCAGTCACTTCAGTATTCACACGACCGTCGAAACGTTAACACGTAGTTAAGCCGTGCTCGTGAAAATTCATTTATATTTTCCACGTGTTCTATCGCGTTCGTTAATTATAGCATAAATTAAATATTCGTTTAATATACCTCCGTAATATCGGAGACTTTTGACTCTAGTAGTGCTCTCTACCGTCGTTCGTTGTAACTATCTAAGCGCGCGGTAAAACATGGCGGGTGACACGTGTCCGATCACGCTCCGTTTCGCCTCATTGCTAAATTGTTAAACAATTACGTCAGTGTTATACAAGTCGGTGTGATAAAAGTGAATTTTTAAACGCATTTAACTTAACGGGACGTAAATTGTGTCGTGATTCCTGTTTCGGAGCGTTCATTCGTCCAATGCTTCCTTGCCAAATGGATTCGTCGTAAAGGTATGTGAAAATATTTTCTGTATCGATATGAATAGTAGAATAATAATAGAAATGGCGTCGATAACCTACAATGGCCGTTAAAGTGTAACAATTTTACGTTTTAATTACAATACTTGGGAAATGGGATATTTTGAACAACGCGTGCAAGTATTTACGTACATAACCAATAATATACACTCACTTAATTGTTCGTACCAATAGGCGTATATATCTTGCTTCAAGAACACTGTCCCCACCTTTTGGAAATATACGTGTAGAACGCTATGATTCGTCACTGTCATGTTTGAACTGCAAAATATTTAGGAGAGTTATTTAACCCTTTGCACTCGAGAGGTGACCATCAGTCACCATTAGATAAAATTTCGAAGATCGATATTAATTAATATGTCAAATTTAAGATAATGTAACGGTGTGCGAGCTATCGGAATCAAAAAATTCTACGTGTTAATTATTACACGATTTCTAATTTATTACTGAAAGAAATATCGCCAGCTTGATAGCAGAAAATCTTTGAACTCCTACTCATCTTTAGCGAAAAGATCGTCGAGTGCAAAGGGTTAATAACATAAAATTATTAAACGTTATCATTATTAAATAATGATAACATTAAATAATAACGTTATTAAATGTTATTTAATAACATATTTAACAAGAAATTGGCGATATTTCAACATTTTCTTACAACATCATCTTGTTGGTTACACCAGACTGTACTCTAGAATACGAAGTCTCGAAATAGTATCTCATGTCATCGCAATCCGGGTAACAATCCTTGCAGTTTATGATCGCGTTCGTGTCCTCGACGAAGATTGACCAATTCGTGGTCTTGTAGGGTATAATATCGTAGGATTTGCCTGGTAATTAAAAGAACATAAATTTCAACTTATCCTCACAGCGCTAGGCGTATTGTAGGCTTAACACTAAACCTACCACGACTGGTCAAATGGGAAAATGAAAGAGGAAGTGTTTCAAGAGAAATGAAATCGGAAAAGACATTGGAAAATTGAAAATTCGTATATTAAGAGAATTATCGAGAAGTCGAACATGCAGAATTTTTATTCAAAAACATGAAAACGTTCGATTAGGCTGTGGTAGGTTTAGTGGTAAGGGTCCTAAGAGAAAGAGGGTCATAAAAGACAAAGGGATAGACAAGAAAAAAGGTAGGCCCATCGGGGAAAACGTTCGTCGTCCACTGATAGGTGTGCAATATTTTCGGGTTAGGGAAGATTTAAGGGGAAAATTAGAAAAAGCGAGGAACAATAGAGTAAGAGTGTTGCGTTGAGCTTGCTAGCGAGAGGTCAGAGGAAGTCGTTAGGAGAGTCGTTTGGAGTTGTGTTTTCTTTTTGTATATACACGTATGGAGACCACACTACACTCACTGTCAGAGGGATTCGAGAGAGTTTGAGGTTTAGATGCTCTGTTTCCTACAAGTAGAAGTTCCTACCACTGATCTCCTGTGTCTGAGATCTGCTAGGTAGCCTTACTGACGAGACCACTAGCAGAATGATCTTTCTCTCTCTTTTACTCTCACACAGTATTCAGTAGTGTAGCCTTACACGTATACTCATCCCTGTTTAACCAACCGCTTCCTTCTTATAATCTCCTTTGAAAAATAAATATAGTTACTGCAATAATCACACACTCACCGTAATATTTCATCAAACAGTCTATGTCTTCCACGTTGCAAGTCTTCTTGAAACCTAAAAACGATCGACAAAGGGGAAGTTTAGATGGAACGAAGAGAAAACTTCCCAGACTTTCTCTGCTCTTAGGCCACGCGGCGTAAACGAAGCGCAACTTCCTTTCGGAATATTAAAAATGAGCCGAAAGCACAGGTGGAGCTGCTGCCGAATGGTGCGATCCGCTTTAAAGCAATCTGCATCCTGGATGCGTCAGGGTGCTCGCGTGTACACGGCGTACGAGCTCCACCCTGCTGGAAGATTGGCTCCTTCCGAAAATTCCGGCTCCCGTCATCTCCACTCGAAATTTCAATTTCGAAAACGCGACGCGGATTTGATGAAACTGCGCGTTACTTTAATCATCTCTAACCCGTCCAATTTTTCTCCCCTTCTATCTGTCATCGTCGTTCCAATTAAGTTCCCCTCTGGACCCCTAAAGTACTCTACATTTTCGTCGCTTTTATAAGAGTAACGACGTTTATTTGAAATAACATACGTCATTCGAATTCCCTCAAGAACGCGATACGAATGGAAATCTGAAGAGTTGACTGTTCCACGGGAGAAATCGAAAAATAAAACAAGAGTTGTCCACTAACTCTGAACCAACCTTCCCGGTAGGGGTAGAAGAACGGCCTGCATTTGCAGTTGTTCCATATGTGCATTAGCTTGCAGTCGACTATGCAATAGCTGTTGGTGTAGGTGGCGTAATCTGTAACGCGTTCGTCCGGAAAAATGCAGCCTCGTTGTTCCATCGGGTAAGGTCGAATGTTGTCAGAGCTGTGCAGCCCGAGAGCTTCCAGTCTAAAGTACTTCTCGGTTAAAGGAGCGACGAGGATCTCCGAAACGCTGCCACTGCTCGTGTCAGGATAGTCGTAAGGGTCGAATACCATCACCTGACGAATATGCAATGCAATATTGGGGTATGTTCGTTAGGATTAGTTATTTTCGTTGGATTAGAAGACTCGAATAATTGAACTTACTAGTCAGGCACGTCGACGAAAGAGATTTTAACGCAGTTTTTTTGCTCGTTTCAAGTTATTACAATCGAATTTCTATTTTTTTTCTTTTTCTTTTTTATTTCGAAATTTAAACCGTTGCGTTATATATGAAAAAAAATTTGATTAAAACATATTTGATATTTCAACGCGAGCACTTTGTTTATTCGGCGTTGCTACTATCGATTTTCCTTTTTTAATCATTCAGATCGTTACTTTAGGTAAAAAACAGAATTCGATTAGTCGGAATATTCATCGAGGATTGAAACGAAACACGTTTGGTATTTGAACGAGAGTCCATTATTACAATCGATCCCTTTTTTGAATATTTCAGATCGTTACTTTTCGTAGATGAAACGAAAATAATTTTCGGGGTTAAATTATTCCATAAATGGCGATAGGGGGTTGGAACGAAGTACGATACACAGGCAAGGATTTTTCTAGTGCATTTGAAGCATTTAGTGCCGAAATGCAGTTCGTTTCGCGCGAAAGAAGAGCAACGCGATCACGAATAAGTAACATGCGCTGGTTGAGCTTCTTCGCGCAAAGCTCCCGCTTTATTTCCATCAGACGCGACAAATCTTCCGTTTGAATAGATCTCCCGTGAAAGAATTTGCTTTCCTCCGGTTCCACCCGCGAAAGTTCCCAGCCGATCTATCGCTTACACGCTACCTTGCGCCGAGGTGCCTTTGCTCTTCATAATTCCTAATCATCCGTGTTTCTCCCGCGAATTAAACGTACGATCGTTATAAATTCAGTAGCTACACGAGCAGTGACGTTTACAACGCTGTTTCGCTGTTTAGAGGCGACGTTAAATGGCACGGAACGCGGAATATGTGCGTCCAACATGGCGAATAGTCGCAACGGTGGACCAAGCTTTTTCCAACAGTACCACAAAATGCGTCGCGCTGCTTAATGACTTTCGTCGGCTTTTTGCGGGCCAAACATTCGCGTTTCGAAATGAGGATAATCGTTGATGACCGTGGTTGAAGAAACGGGGACGATTAGGGTGGCAAAATGGCAACATTTGCGCATTCGAATGCAATTTAGGGGTAGGAAAAATGAATAATTACCTTCCAGCCGGGGGTGGCTAGTATGGGGTAGAAGTAATCATCCAGAAGGGGATCCAATGTCACGGATAGACCATTATACACGCCTATGGCTCCGACGAAATAAATTCGAGACTCCCTCTGCCTCGGAGATCTGTTGCAAATGCGATTAAAGAACGCCGGTGGTTGTAAAAGAAATTTCTTATTTCTCGGACAAACAGACTTACTCAGGAGGATCATCCATCTCGAGGATATAATTGAAAATGCAACAGAATCCGTTCTCCGTTTTTCCAACGGCAAATATGTCGGAACAGTTCCTCTGCTGGTCGCGGAAGAAACACCGCGAGAGTATTCGCGAGCATTCCGGAGTTAGCTGAAATTTCCTCTGTGTTATTAACTCGTGTTCCACCACTTGGCGAATGGACAGGAATAATCGTGCAACGAATGTACATCGTGTTATTTGCCGCTACTCACGCGTTTCATTATTTTGGCGATATCGAAACTGTTGTTGTAAAACCTCGATATCAGTTGGATAATTTGGTCGTAATTGTCGGACATGTCGAACGATGATTCGTACAGCTCGCCGAGTTTCGATATCTCGTTCATTATTTCCTTCACCGTCAAGTTGCTGATCTTCGCTTCGTACCTGTAGTGACCAATCGAGATTAGAAGCTCTATTTTTGTCACGCGAATTTTCATTAGAAAATCAGCGTGATGTTTAACGCTAAATCTACCACAGCCTAAATGACCGGTTTCGATTTTTTCATCAACAATTCCGAATTCAACGTTATCACTTTAGTCACTTGATGGGAATAGTGAAGAAAAATAATTGGAGGTTCATATCAGAAACAACCCTTGTCAATTTCATTCAGATTTTAATCGTCATAACGCACTCTGATAGTTGGAAATAAGAATTATATTGGACGCCATATTTCCTGAATTATAATTCATGGAAAATTCCCCAGTCGTATCAGAAATAATTGATCACAGTAGACTATCATCTTTTACTCTTAAAAATTGAGAAAAGGACGAACTCTTTAATTCTTCAACGTACTTTCTTACTCAATTTTTATTAAAATCCTCCTTCTTCGAATTTCTCATCCACCGGTCATCGAAGGAGTCGTGGTAGGTTCAAATAATAAGCGTGTTTAAAGAAACTTCAAGCACATCGAGACGACCGATAATAGAGCTTATATTTCACTCTCGAGCGAACGATTCGAGACACGTCCCGGCCCATTAGTATCATTTAGTTCCGCTTAATACTTAGCGAACTTCTCCCCGGTGTCGCCGATTCGGTGCATATTAATACTTGATTAAATTGGCGAAAGCTAATCGGGCGCGAATTAGCGTTCGTTAAATCGACGCGCGCGAATCGATAACTAAGTTAGAGCCGGCGTAGCGTCGATTCTCGTAAACGGGGGCCCAACAATGAACACACGTTCCCGGTGATTATCAAAGCGATTAGGTGGCGGCTGGCTGCCGGTTGCTCACGGTTCTTCAACGAGGTCACGCTTTTCGAGTGCAGTTATTGAAATTATCCGTGCCAGTGCAATTTTCTGCAGTGCGGCGAAACGACGTGCTACATCCCCCATCCCCAAACCCCTCCCCCTCTTCGTCGCCTTCTCTTCCTCCACCTCCTTCTCCACCTTTTGCTATTCAACCCCGTGGTTCCTACGCGTTAAAAGCCGCGATGCTCCCTCACTCGTCGCGAAAGCTGGTGTTTATTTAATACTCAGCAGCTCCTCACATTTCAGTCGCGAGTTGCGTGGCGGATCGAAGACTTATCCTGTTAACGGAGCAAATAGAGACCGCTGGAAACACAGGAATCAGGCCTGTTGAAAATGTTCCGGCTCTCGTGTCGCGGTTTCGTTCATAAAATTTAAGGGCTGCTCGTTCAGAGCCACCACCTTAACCCTTTCACTCCTGCGGACGTTGTATGACGTCAAGCTACAACATGACTGCCCAACTGCGAACGTGATACAACGTTTATGGATTTCAAAGCTGTTAGAGCTTACAAAATTCTTTGTGAACGCAATCCAACTGTTCTGACGTGTCCTACTATCTCTTACGATAAGAGAGAAATTTTTTCCAATACAATCTCTGTATTATTTTACCCTCTGTCGAAAATATTGCGAGACTTTGTATTTCACGTCTAGTGTGCACGTGGCACGCGATTTTTCGTCTGCTGCCAGGATTTGCAAATAAATTAATTTAGTGACTTCTGAATTTTTGTATTCATCTTCATCACCTCGATACTATATCTTGATTAAGTTTTTATTACATTCAAACAAAAATAAAATGTGTTAAATTAATTCAGGACAAGGTGTTTGCTACTCTCCTTGTAACTCACGAGTGAAAGGGTTAATCGAACCCAAACGAAGAGGACGAAATCGTAAAGGGATTTTCCAATTTTTCTTTTCCCCTTTTCCCGTCTTTATGGGAAATATCCGCGAAGCTTATCGGTCTTCTGCGTCCGAATTTGATCGTGTTTCAACTTACCGGGAAACATCAGCTCGTTGGTAGGGTGGTAATCCGGCTCCTGTTACGAAGAGGACGAAATCGTAAAGGGATTTTCCAATTTTTTTTTTCCCCTTTTCCCGTCTTTATGGGAAATATCCGCGAAGCTTATCGGTCTTCTGCGTCGGAATTTGATCGTGTTTCAACTTACCGGGAAACATCAGCTCGTTGGTAGGGTGGTAGTCCGGCTCCTGCGTGGATGTTATAGGCATGTTCCTGTATTCTAGGGTAATGGCGCAAACGAAAGAGATCGCGACGAGTATGGTGCTCACGTACACGAGAGACCACAGGAATCTGAAAATACGCAGAATTTCGGTGATGCTGAAATAATTAGTGTTTCGTTGCCGTTTAATTTCCTTTTAATCAAATTGCCAATAAGATACAAAGTAGCGGTGAAGTCATAAAAGGGAGCTCGTAACTAGCTCGCGAATAGGAAGGCTCTCGAGTTCCTTTTCTCCCTCTTTTAATGAACGTAATACGCGTTCGGTCGCCATTAAACGCGCTCGATCGCAACGTGAACCTCTATAAAAAATAATACTTAAAGCGGTTCGTAAAACGATAGTCCGCTGGAATCTTTTTCCTTTTTTCCCACGAGAAACAAGGATCCCTTTTATCACCGAATACGCTTAATAAAAGTCGTTCCGCACAGTGCTCTGTGTCTAATTACGAGCCCCGTCCCACGAGTTGTTTCATTCCTGTTTCTTCACTGATCTCTTCGCCGAATCTACGTGTGCCTCGAACTTTTCCCGTCTTCATCCTTCATAAATTTCCTCCCCATCGTTCGATCCGATACACTCTCGGAGCAACACCGAACAAATCTCGAGTCTGCCGTTCGTAAGGTTTAATCGAATTTGTAATTGTTTGTCCCGGAGCTTCCCAAAGAGTAACGTTTCCCATGTTTCCCCAAACTTCCAGCGAATGTTTGCATCCTCTCCATAAGTTCACCGCAACGCAGACCACTCGGCTCGATACCGTTCTCACGAGCAGCAAACCTATCCGCACTTCTCTGTATAATTATGTTCTTACGCGATGCAGGTGTACAGAAAATGGGGTTAAAAATTAAAGCAAGTATGGAACGAGGTTAATACCGTGTATTCGACGGAAAATATCTCGACGCGAGATAAAATTGGGATAATTTTCGCGATTCTAAAGGCGCTTTCAAAGTGGTCGAAATTCGTAACACGATTAGTATGATTATGCCAGCGTTAATCCGTGAATTATCGCGATATTTCACTTACTTTTCGAACCAGGTTACCCCGTCTTTCACGAAGTGCTTGAGGCCTACGAGGCTGGAGTGCTGGCAGAACAGACGCCAATATTTTGCGAATATCTGGGAGCAGCTCAATCGCGCGATGTTTTCGCGTGAAACCGATATCGGATATTTGGACGAAACGGGGAATTTTCTTCCGCGTGGATCGCCGATGACTGGTCCGTCATGCAGGCCCACGAGAGCCGGCGCCATTGTTATGGCAACGCGGAAGACAACGGGCCCCGTCGAGATGTTCGACGCGGACGCTCGTTACGCTGCGAGGATCGTAATTAATTATTAATTAGTTCGCTACGCCGCGGGTGTTTGGCGTGAAAGCATAACGGAGTGGAGAATTGTCGTGCGAGATGGTAGGATAGCGAATAGCGTGATGCAGGTAAACGGAACGGAAGGAAATAAAACGGAACGGAACGGGACGAAATAAAAGGCGCGCGGGAGTGAAATTCGAATTTCCGACGAGGAATCCATGGTGGGGCATAGGTGTGTGCACAAGTGGAAAAATGCGAGAGAAAATAATATTAATTGCGTGGAATCTACGGCCGGAATCGAACGAAAGCGAATGGCGACGTGGTCGAAGTAAACGGAACGGAGCGGAATGAAAAGCTCGCAAATGAAAAATTCGGATTTACGACGATGAATACTTGGCTTTCCATACACGTGCGCGAGCAACGTAATACAAAATAAATAGACGGGAATTCGAAGAATGTTGAGTCGAGTTAGATCGAGTTACCCTCGATTTGAATGTCCTCGCGCGATAGGATTGGTGATATCGATGGAGTCCAAACGTTCTTAATTAAGTTCTCGGTTATGCAACCTGGACGAACGACCGTCTCCGTTTAAGCGTTGAAGAGGACAAGGGAAAAGCAGAAAGGTAAAGGAAAGGTAGAGAGAGAGGAAATAAAGAGGAAGCGTGCATTTAAACAAAAAGGGAGTGCGATAGGGTGATTAAATTTTTATGGGAAACGTATATCAACGATTGGATGCAGCGCAGCCGAAGCGTCGCGGCGCAGTTATGCCGGACGCAATATATCGGGTGGTTACTCGACGTTCCACTGGCAGGATTTCCACGACGACTGGGCGCCGCGTCGTTCCTCGATTAGAATCGTAAAACATTCGCGGCCTCGTTTCGCGCGATGCACGCGTCGCCCGGGTGACGGAACGATTCCGCTTCGAAGAGATCGCGTATCTTGAACCATTTAATTACCGATATGCTCCGCTTATCTCACGCACGGTCAGTTGCTCGTTACTGCTAGCAAGTTACGGATCGCTCCTGTGCACCGTGCCTCCGAGCGTATTTATTGTCGCGACGGATTCCAGTTAAATCACGCGCTTCGCTTTTATGGCCGAGTAGAAGCCGGTTTCTGAGTTATATCGCGCGTCAGCCCATTTGCTCGTCGTTTCGAAAAAGCTGGCCCGGGGATCCGAAAATGGGCCGGTCGGCGATAAAGCAACGTAAGAAATGATAAATCATCGCTCAACAAGTGACTCCAGCAGGTGACTCGAATCACCCTCTCGACAGGTTGGCCTTGAATCCGGAACGTAACCGGTTATTAAGGCCATAAAACTTCGGGACTTCATCAGGTGTCAGCTTCGTGACCGGAATGATCCGGCAAGAGGGTGGCTGGTGGCAGTTGAGTCGCTAATCCAGCCCCGGCTATCTCACGCTCTATCGTTTCGAGTATGCCACGACCCGGTGTTGCGTACGTGTGTCGTTATGAAAATGCGTGGCTCGCGCTCGTGAATATATTACAAGGCGGTTGCACGTGCAACCGTCTAGCTGCAACCTTGCAAGCCTAGCCGGGGTCAGGTACGAGCCGGTGCACGCGAAGTAGATCAAGTTTACGGGACGTTGATCGAATCTCCATACTCGGCCATTTTAGTTCTGTCGCATCGGGACGATAGAACGGGAATCACGGTACGATTATTCCCGCGAACGTTTCGCGAATTCCTGTCGAAGTTCTCACGAGGATTCGCGAAGGAACCGTCTCGAGTTGGTAAATTTATTCGCGATTGTTTGCCCAGATATTACGTTGGTATTGCGTCGCCTGAGTAACTCGCTTTCGTTGACATGCCCTTCCATTTGGATTTAGCGAGGCTGTTTTATCGCGTAATTGAATTATACCGATACTCGTTTAATGGGGTTGATTTTGTTCTTTATTTGCTCGTTTCCCTGCCGACGCCCGACTAATGACTTACTTATACTACTTCGTCCGGGCGCTGCGAAGATAATTCGTCGATTCGTGTACTTTTTGCTTCTTTTTCCTTTCAGTTCTTTTAATATCTTGTAATTTTAACACTCCTGACCCTTTGTTTACAAAATTTTCGATATTTTATTGCGAATTTAGGTTTAATCAAATTTTAACTACTTGTCTCTATATTATTTCTATGATTCTACATATTCACATACGATTGCTCAATATTAATTCGACGTCTCTATCGCGGTATTCCTCCTGATAGAACCAAACACTGGATATTAATATTTGCTACTACCTCGATTGGTTCAGGCATATAAAATTGAAATCTGGAATGTCTAATCGAGCTGCGCTCACTCTAATCGCGCCAGCCCGGATCAAAGCGCATCACGCTTCAATAATTAATAACGCTTTGTTTCTTGCGACTGCGTTGCCTAGATTTCGTAGCTGGCATTAGATCCAAGGCTGGGCGATAATTCATAGAACGGGAACTGCGCGTTTCCACGATGAACCTTTGTGGTATTACGTCGCTTTGTGATATCCGATGTAGCTGTGTGCATTTATCGCTGACCCCAGAAACCAATCCAGCTCTCGTACATTCTCCGCGCGCGCTTCATCTCTTTGCTCGTTCGCGTTGTTTACTTCGAAAATCCATTAACAGAAGTAATTAGACACAGCGGTACGTTCGATGAACACGGTTGAAACTGAAACGAATAACGTTTTAATTCATCATTCCCCGGGCAAAGCCCGTTATATTTCTCTCGATACCTCGAAAAGCATCCCCATTGTGCGATTCCCAGAAAGAGAAGAATTTCCCGTGTTTACGAAGGCAGTCGATTTTTCGTAGTCCGACCGACCAGGGAAAACGTGATAATTCGTGCAACCACGAAAATTGCAGCGCAACGAATTTATTGGCACCTCGAACGAAAACGTGTCCATGAACATCTACGTTTTTAGCGGTTCGCTTTTTAAATTCGTCCAATCGAACGAGTCGCGGCACTTTTTGCTTTACACCGTCACGGTTGCAGGTGTAAAAATTCGTCTGCCTGTCCGCGATACGGATTTAATGACGCCGACTCGTGGCGCAACGCGGAGAATTGAATGCAACTAATACCGCGGAACCAGATCGGTTCGGCGGCCTCGAATCGGTGTCTGTGTACGCCGGGTGTAACGACGAAATCCCCGAAAAACCAACCGGGAGACATCAATTTCTGCTTTGTCTCTAAATAATAGCGAATGCCAGGCAACCGACTCACGGGTATTGTCCGATAAATCTGTTACGAGCCAGGATATTTCCAGCCGTTCTACAAGCGAACGTGTGTAAATCGCGAGAGGATAATCCGCGTGAAATGGGTTTCTTCGCTGGAAATCTGTAATGGCTGCTTCCGCCTTTACCGAAAGCCCGTAATGGTGTATTACTGAAACTGGATAAACGAATGACAAATGGGAACCGAGCGCGTCGCGTTCGAGGAAAGCTGAAATACGATTATAGGAAGATGGGGAAATCCATGGGAACGTCCAGACATTTCCTTTCACGTCGGCCATTCCAATGGGGTTCCTATTATGACAGTCGAGCAACAATTAAGCGATAACAATATCTATTTCCACAAAGCGGCCCGGGCTCCCGGAGCGCTGGCAATAATTCACTCAGCTGGATCGCTTATTCACGCTGAATTTCACCTTCGTCTGTGGTAGCCGGTGCAAGTCGATCATCTCGAAACCTCGAGCATGTTCGAATGATCGAGCTTCGTAA